TATCACTTAATTTATCATTACTTAATTTCGTTCACGAAATTATTGCACCTTCATGAAAATGTGATGAAGCCCGTGAAAATACTCTTAACTATTTCACAGCTACCGATTACAATAATTAAATCCGCAATTAACAGTCACTGATTGTCATTATAATTGTTACTTTTACTACTTATACACCCATTTAATCAAGCAGATTGCCTTTAATACTTCGCTGCATAATATCAACAAAACCATCAAGTGTACAATGAAATTAAAACCAACGTAATGTAATCGAGGAACGTTGACAGCGGTTCAAGAGCATTGTTTCTGATATGTGTAAATTCGGTTACCAATTTTTCTTTCAAACGTTCATCAATCACCTGAATATGACAAGATATAAATTCACACTAGACTTCATCTCGAAAAAATCAAAACATACATAAGACTGACAGTTTGCCGACTCTATTAGGACAGAATCTTAGACGATGTGAACATTCTTAAACGAACCTGAACAGTGATCGAGCCCGGTTCATTTGCTAAGAAGTTGCCATAATCGGTTGATTGAATATGCAACTTCAAATCTGAAATTCCACACGTTTTCAATTAATAACAAACGTCTCAACATTCAAGCTTTAGACTCATTTCAAATGAATGTTCCACATCAACGTCAAACACTTTTCATGATGGAGTTTTTTGCAAACCTCATAAGGAATTCTAGAGAAAACTGGATAGATGAATTTAAAAGTGAATCAACCAAATTTTACGTACGTACCTTCAAGTGTTTCACACTGTACAAGATTAGCGTAATCAGTCTGCGTGAGGATACCCTCTTTGAAGCCACGAATTAAACCCTCCAAATATCCGTGATCAATATTAAAGAAGAATTCGCCCATTTCGTTTTCGAATTCGAACTCCCCGATTCAATAATACGAGACCACGGAAATCTAAATTTGTGCTTGCTAAGAACATAAAAATTATCAACGAATTTACGAAAGGTATCAATACATATCGCGCTGAATAATCGTTTACTCTTGACATAAATCACAATACTAACTCAATAGTGATTTCAATTAAGCAGCGAACAAATTAGTAACAGAACATTCAAAAGCGACAGCTGACACATACCCCTCCTCCAACTACACTTCCTAGCAAAAACCCCGTAATTCTGATGGAATCAAACCCATCGAAGGTTAAAGATCAACCTGGAATTCATCGCTTAATTCAGTGTTTTCATTTGGCAGCCGTTTGGCACTAGAAACCACAACGATGAACATCGATCGTTCGTCTTTGGCTAAATATTGATTCAGGATGCGAAGCTTTATTCAAATGCCTGCCTTTGCAGTCTCTAGCAGCATCGCATAGAGGCAATGAAGTTAGTCGATGTGTTCATCAAAACATTACTATATCAAAACATTTATCCAAACATAAGCTTCTTTTTAGCAAAATGGAATCGATGGTGTCGATTCGTCGTAATCTGAAATGATATTCAACCGAACCAAAGGAACTTCGATTCATAATTGGTCAGATAAATAGAATTGTTTTCCTCATAAAACTGTTCCATTCACACTGAAGAGGCATTCAAATTCGTTGAAGAAATTCTTGAGGATTCCCAGCAACTTCCCTCGAGACAGGACCAGCCTTAGTTCCTCAC